AAAAAAAAAAAAAAAACCAAAAAAAAAACCAAAAAAAAAAACCAAAATAAATCAAAATTTGAAAGTAGTGTTTTAATAAATCTAACTTATGATCATAGAATTGAATAGCTTTGAGATTGAAGTTCTATCACTAGTTGTATTTAATTGATGAATCTTCAAAATTTTAATCTTGTACCATCAAACTTCTCAAATAAGATAAATTTTGATTTTTTAATACTTGAATAATGTTATATCATAAGAGAAGTAACATGATTTTATATAGATATTGAAATAGCTCCAATCATCTTTACCTCTTCATTTCATATCAATATTATTTTTTTATGTCATGGTAAATTGAGTTGATACATATTAATCATTAATTCTTTCAATTATTCTTGTATTTAAGCCATCGTACTCTATATTTTAACAAGTTTTGCCTTGATAATATAATAAGAAAAAAGACATCAAAATTATTTAAGATAAATAAAAAAAATTAAAAATAAATAAAAAATCTAAAAATAATATCAATTTTGAAGTAAGTAATTTACAACTTCTAATATGCTTAATTCTTATCAAGAATATAAAATAATGTATTCTTAATCAAAAAAAGACAAAGCTTTGATATTTTAAGTACACTCTTGTCAACTTGAAAGGACAAGAATTCAAAGAATATAAATAAGAGGTTTTTATTTTAAAAAAATGACTAGAAAGAAAGAAATAAATATGTATATTTATTATGAATATACATATTTATTCCAATATTTATCTATATGACAAGAGAGAAGTAAATAAAAGTAGATTAATTTCATAATATCTTCTAAAAAAGCTTCCTAAAAGCTTCATAAATGCAATTTTGACTTTACATGTATTTATAGTTGTGAGGGTAAATATCTCTCTCAATTCAAATCACAAGATGATCTTAATTAAGAGCTTCTTGTAATTGATGGTATAAAGTAGAAGATACAATAAATAATAATAATAATAATAATAATAATAAATAAATAAATAAAATAGGTACAATTAAGTAATTACATACAACAAAAGTAGTCTATAATTTATTTATTAAGTTTTCATCTAATAAAATATTAAATAAAATATTAAATAAAATATTTTTAAATAATTTATTTTATTATCTTTCTAGTGATATAAGAAACATATAAATTAAAATTACTATGAATAAGTTATAAAAGTTTAAAGATAGGAAGTGAATAGTTAAAAAGTTATCTAAAAATATTTTATCTCAAGGATAATTTGCTCATAGATCAAAGACTTGAGCCTCACCAAGGCTCACTTGTAGTATATATGGATTGTCTAAAGAAGCCTTGAGGCCTTAGTCTTATCTTCTTACCTACATCTAAGATGCTAAAATCCATATGGGACTTATGCACCTCCCTTCTTACAAGGACTAAACTAGTTGCTAGTCCTCTTATTTTCTGCTAGTAGAATTCATATTTTTATGTTTTTGACTTCACTATGGTATTTAAAAAATACTCAAAGAGCTTAGGAACCTTGTATGGCCTTCAAATCTTATTCCATTTTTTTCATAATGGCTCCCAAAGTGATAAAATTCAATTTTACCAAAAACTTAAAAATTTCTCTAAAAATTTCTAAATAATTCTAAATAAATTCTAAAAAATCTTATAATATTTTCATAATAATAATATCTATTTGAAACTATATTTTTCTACCTTTATAATTTTTTATAGTAATAAAATAAATTTAAATCCACTAAAAAATTTATATTTTATATAATTAACTAAAAAGACATGCAGTTCTTTTAGATGCTTCTTCTAACTACTAACTAATTATTGATAGGATTTTTATAAGTAATGCATATAGCTAAAAGGCCAATAAAGATATTAATTTGAATAAATAATCCTAAATACTTAACAATAAGTAAAAATACTAAATCAACTAAATTAATTACCTTTAAGACTTATTAAAATTTAATTTTTTGTAATTTTTTTTTAATAAAACTTTTATAAATTATAAATAATTTTAAATTCTAAAAAATAATTAAATAATAAAAAGACTCTTTGAACATAATATTTATATAATTAAATGATTTATAACTATATTTTTAATCAATCTATCAATTAAGATGCATTGGTAGGACTTATAATAGTTGATTAATAAATTAGAAATTTGGTCAAAAAGTTAACCACATATCACATATGTTGGTAGCTTGTGGAATAAGTTAACTATATGGAGCATCTATAGAAAACTTGCCTTATAAGTTAAAAATATGTCTTATAAAGTCAACACATGTTGGAGGTCCTACAGGACATTGTCATATAGCTCCTAATTAGAGAGTATATATAGAGGCAAGAGTGAAGCCTTCTTAACTCTTTTCAATGCTTTTTAGTCCTTAGTCTTATTTCAAGACTTTTTAGTCTTCTTGTCTCTAACAATAGCTAGTTTAGTTTAATGTTTCATTATTTTTAAGAAATTATCTAGAATTTTTGAGTGGCATAAGAATGTCTTGGTCTTTCAATTCTTCAAGATTCATACATTTGAAAATATTTTAGAAAAAACTAGAATAACTATTGTTAAAATATTAAAAAAACTAAAAAGCTCTTAAAGCTAGACTAGAAGCAAGAAAGGATTTAATAAGAATGAAGATGTTTTTATTCTTGTCTCTATATGTACTATCTAACAACAAGCTATATGGTGACATTGTATAGAACCTTTGACATATTTCTAATTTATAAGGCACATATTAAACTTGCATAATAAGCTTCGTATATGTGCACCTTACATCCAACTTGTATCATAAGTGACCAACATGTATGACACATGGCCAACTTGTTGACAAAATATTTAACATATTAATCACTTGTAGATATATTGTTGTATTTTGTAAAGTTTGCTTGAGAATGCATTAGGCACTTGATTGTAGGAAGTAAAATAGAACTTGCAATAAGAAGTTTCTTATAACTCTTATAGAATTGTAAACAAAATCCAATTTAATTATAACAATGCTAATCAATCTTTAATTAAATCTCAAAAGAAGTCTCAAAGAAATTATAAAAAAATATAAAGAAATTATAATTAAATTTAATAAAATATATATAATAATAAAATATTTTTAAAATATTTTTAAAATATTAAAAATAGAAATTTTAATTGAATCCTCAAAAAATTCTAAAAAATTGAAATTAAATTTCAATAAAATATTAAATAAATCCTAATCAAATCTTAAATCTTAATCGAATCTTAAATAAATCTTAATAAAATTCTAAATCCGAATCAAATCTTAATTCTTAATCAAATCCTAAATAAATCTTAATCAAATTCTAAATCCTAACCAAAACCTAAGTGAATCTTAATCAATTACTATAGCTATTTGAAACCTTAATAAATATGAATTGAATTATTTATCTTGACTAAAATTTCATCCAAACTTCAATCCACAAAAAAATTTACAAGCACATAAAATTTGAGAAGAATCAAACTCACCAATTGAAAGAAAAGTTCTCAAACCCACTCGGATGTTTGTCACCCTTCTTTTCCAATTTGAATGTTGATCTCCAAACAAATATTTTTCCTTGCCAAACTATTTAATTACTCCAAAAATTGGATGGTATGTAAATATGTAAGTCTAAATTTCTCTTACCAATTCTTGCTTCAATTGAATTAGCAGATGTTGCAAGATCATAAAAAACCCTCATTGACCCTTAATTTCAATTATCTAAAATCATAATCCACAAAACTCTCATAACCTTCAATCTAACTACTTAATTGACATAAACACAAATTCACAATAAGTATACCGACCAATTGACAAATTTTTACTTATAAATATATTATGGCACTTACAAAATTATCAAATTTATGATTTTTTTTTTTTATAAAATCTAAATCCACACAATACATCTCTTACTTTGAAAAGATCTCAAAACCTCAATATACCTTCAAATCACATGAAATTAACTCTGAAAAGGCCTCTCACAAGTCTACTCTCAAATCTTATTCTCTAATTGACTAAAGAATCCCAAAGTTGCTATAGGTGTGTGGTTTTGTGCCTTGGGATCTGATTTCAACCTTGATTCACAACTAGTCCTTTTTAGATATTAATTCTTGGTATTTTGATTTTTTTTTTTTTCTATTTTTTTTAATTATCTCCTAAAATTTTATATATTAATTATAGACCTCATTTATTTTGATTTGGCTCATTTATGTCCCTATAAAATAAGTATAAGTCTCTTCTACAAGAAGGCAATATTAGCACTTATTAATTTTTACTACCTCCTTGTTTATTATTTATATTTTAAAGATAATTTGCTAAAATATTTTCATTTAGCTCTTCTATAATATATATATATATATATATATATATATATTTTAACCTAATAGTTGTATTACTACATGATAATGTCTAAACGTAAAGCCATATCTATGAAGCTTCTTCACAAGATATTATCAAATTTATTTATTTTTACTTATTTCTATTTATTAATACTATTTAAGTAATTATTGGAATAAATATGGATGTTTATGACTAAAGATGTTATTATGAAAAGAAATTTAAATTTATTTTAAATCACTTCTTTTTATTTGAAAAAAAATTAAGTTTTAACCATTAAGGCAATGTTACTCAAAGAAACTCTCCTTTATAATAGCATGTAAGCAATGTGCTACACAAAACATCAAATTCATATTATGGATGAAATTTGACATTGAAAGCTTTGTCTTAGAATGTTTCGTCAAAGGCCCCTACCCCTAGAATAAAGGCCAATTGATACCTAGTATTAGATGAATAAAAAAAAATTCACAAAACTCTCCGTACCAAAGCATTTTAAAATATTTTAACATCCCAAGAATTAGTTGCCCTCAAAATTTGAGGCAGCTACCTGCATCCATCTCTATCGACAACTCTATCTATGGATGACCAGCGGATGAAGTAAAAATAAGTAAAGGTGCGAGCTGGGTTGAGTACCTGCTCTGTGAAATTGCTGCTGAAGCGACTCTATCAGTGTACAGGTTTTGGTATCAAGTCTGAAATTTCTAACAATCATCTTTTAAAAAAAATCTAAGCATGATAGAAATTTTTATTTCAGTTTGTTGCTAGGCACAAGGTTGTTTGTGCAGAGACCGTGAGTAACTGAAGCTTCACAATCATTCACTGGGGCTTCGTGCCTGTGGAGAGGGAGAGTGGGAGGAAGCTCCTTGTCTCCTCGGCCTCAGCTGGCCCTGTGGTGTTCTCTCCACGATGCATTTGCTGTAACTCTACTGCATTCTCTTTTGCTGTCCCCTCTCCGCTGTTGTTGTGATGGCCTCCAACTCTACTTCCTCGATCTTGCCTTTACTCACTTTGCCCGACGACGTGACGCATACTGCTTGGAATTCTTCGTCTTCGCGCCTCGCTCTGGCCTCGCACTCCGGCACTCTTCACGTCTGGGCCTATCCTCCTTCCGTCCATTCTCCCGCTACCTCCTGGCAGGCATGCTCTTTCTCCTCCTTCCCATTGTTGTTTGTTTGTTGTTTTGTTTTGTTCCTTTCTTTCTTTTCTTTGCAATTTTTATTTTTTATTTTTTATTTTTGTGTATTATTTTCTCCCTTGGTTTGTAATTTTCATCTTAGGTTTTTTCTCAACCTATTTCGCCCTTTTCCTCTACTACCTGTGTCCAGGCTCATGATGCTCCCATCCTTAAAGTCGTCTGGGCTCCTCCTGAATTTGGCCACCTGCTGGCCACCTGCGCCACTGATGGATCCGTCTCTCTGTGGGAAGAGATTTCTTCGAGTAAGTACTGTTGCAGCAGCTCAACTTTCAGGTCGTTGTTAGCATTATCTTTCTCTCTTTACTCAAGAGCATGAATTTGAGGGATTAGGGTTGAATTGTGCTATCTACGTTTTGCAGAGGATGCCGGAATCGAGTGGAGATTGGTGTGTCAATTCCCAGAGAATCAGACCCCTGTTCTGGATTTTGTGTTCGGGAGTTGCTTATCAGGACTAAAAATTGTAATGATCACTCTTTTTCCGTGGAGCTCATAGTTTTCTATCCGGAATAATGCCAGTTCGAATTGATGTCATATTGTCCTTTCGCTCCTGCTCCAGGTTTAGGATTTGTTTGTGTGTGCTGTTTTTATTTATTTAGTTAGTTAGTTACATATCCTCCTTTTTTTATTTATTTTTTGGCAGCGCACGTTCTCTTGTATGTTGAGGAGGTTGAGTTTTATTTCTGGAACAGGTCACGGCCGGAGGTGATGGACATATTAAGATTTATGAGACCGCAAGCACACTTGAGCTAAGGAAATGGCAACTGCAGGTACATCACTTTGTTATTAGAGCCTGTGTAAATGTTGCCGAACGTTTTTTTTTTTTTTTTTAATCTCTCTAGCAGCTGGGTTTCTCTTTTTTGATCTTTAGTGATATGCTGCCGCTGTTCTGCTGCCGAAGGCCTTGGGCAGCTTGAATTAGAGGGTTTGGTTTAACTTTTGCTAGATGTGATAAATAGTTTGTCGTAGCTGTATCAGAAGCTCATCATGTAACGGTTTGTACATGTGTGTCTATCGGTTGAAAGCAAGCCTAATTTTTGGGGAAGGAACTTCTATGTAACTCTTCACGTCACAGGCTGAATTCCCAAATGTGGCCAATTTGAAAGAGGGTATTGCGCGCATAACGTGCACCTCTGCTTCCATCTCTTGGAGACCTCCTGTGGATTCTGTTCAGAGGCCAGTATTCGCGCTGGGTTATTGTACGTCTTCTCAACAGTTTAGCACTGCCAAGGTAAGAGAAATATGGCCCATTAGTATGCAGAGAATTTCATTTGTAGAGTTTCGAGTCTTATGCGATAAGTGACTTTAAATTAGTATGTTGACCTCAGCGAAAGAGAGGACCTCAGTTGACCATGTTCGTGGTTTGGGGCATCAGATCTGGGAGTTTGCGGAGGCATATCAACGATGGCAGATGATAGCTGAGTTACGAGAGTCACATGAAAAGCCCGAGCCTGTTCATCATATGTCTTGGGCACCTAACGTGGGCAGGTAAGTCCTGTTTCTTTTCTGAATTTTCTGACTATCGCTTTTTTTTTTTCAATATATTAAAAAGTTTCACTAGGTCTTTGAGAGGTGAAATCTCTCTGGTCTTCTCTACATGTAACTGGGAATACGTAATCTTGGAAATTTGTAAACTATGATGGTTTCTTGTGTGCTATTTTTGAGCAGGCCATTTGAGCTCATCGCTGTGGCCTCTGGAAAATCGGTATCAATCTGGAGACTGGAGTTCCCTTTAGATTCGCAAGGAAGACTAGTTGTGACACGTGCAGCTCGTCTTATTGACCACAATGGAGAGGTGCTTGCCTCAACCCTAAATGGCTCTGACGCTGTCCTTGTCTCAAAGAAAGGGGTGGACTCAGTTTTGTCAAAGACCATAATCCTGAAGTGCGGAGGGATTGAGGCTTGAGAACTAGGTTCAATCAAGTCTCAAAGATTCTTATATATGTACCTTTCTCCAACTCTCTTTGAGCAAAGTGCAGATGTTTGACATGGTGCGATTTGATCGCAGGTTTCTCACTTGGACTGGGACATGACTGGCATGACCTTAGCTACTTCGGGTAGTGATGGTACAGTTCGGCTTTGGCAATCCAACTTTAGTGGGCAGTGGCAACAGCAAGGAATTGTCAAGAGCGTAAAAGACTCTTACAAGCGTTGAAGCTGTCCTTCATTCGTGCGAGATATCGACGACAATTAAAGGCGGTTATTATCAGTAATTGACCAGACACTCGACTATGCACCATATCTGTATACCTTTGAACACACTATCTAGAATCGAATGTCTAAGTTGGCAGCATGGTCCGATACATCACACTTTTGATTAGTTTCAAGTGTATAGCAACTAGAAGGGACGTGGACGACAATTGCACTCCCCTCCGAGGAAGTCATTCCTACATCGTAATGAACTAATGACGTGAGAAGTCAACATTGAAGAGCTGTGAGATTTTTCTTTCATGAAGATAATAGCGCAGAAATTTTATGTTGTAAATGAGATACCGTATTGGGTCAATGTCCGTTCCTGAAGATTTCAAACGAAGGAAACGATATGGAATGATTGGTTGAGTTTTGAAACGAGTCTAGTAAGTCTGAACGATTGACTCGAGCAGCTGTCTAGTGCTGAAGGATGTTGTCATACACGTTATGGAAGACGGAGCATCGAAGGGTTGGTGACGACTCTGCGTACACGATGGATAGCTATGACAACAACTAAAAAATACATTCAATTGCCCAAGCTTTGCAGCAAAAATCACGAGGAATATTACAGCTTTTTCGTAACCCACATAATATGAAAAATTATTTTGATCTGTAATTCCCATGATAAATCAGAATTGCATCAATAAATGCCAAACTTCAATTAATAGCACACCGTTCCCACTTTACATGGTAAATTTGCGATAAATAACGCTTTACTTTGAATTATCTATTTCACTGTAGCATGAAATCTAAATTTGACTTTAATGTATATCCACTGCTGTATATTTAATAAAACTAATATTTCTTTTTAATTTTTAAATTTTAAAGCATTGAATTGTAGGAACTATATAAGTTAAGTGAATTATAAACAAGTTTTATACAATCATTAGCATATACAAGAGTATTTAAATAACCAAGAATTTAATTATAATTCATTAAAGAAATTAAATATTTTTATTCTCATTCAAAATAAATATTTTCCTTTCTTAAGTTCCAAACTATAGTAATTGAAAATGCATACAGTTTTAACTATCAAATAGCTTATATTCATATATCAAAGTTAAAATCTATAAATAAGATATCACAATATAAAATAAATATATAAATCTTCTATCCTTCGATGAGTTATATTAGATTTTTTTCTTTCAGAATCTACCAAATTTATTAATTGAAATATAATTTATGAAATAATTATTTTAAATAAAAAATTTAATGTTCTCAAAAAATTTAAAATCAAGTGAAATATCTAAAATATTCTTAAGATTTGAAATATAATATAGCTAAAGATACTTTTGAAATTTTAATTTTATAAAAACATGTTGTAATAAAAAGAACACTTAAGATAAAAATATTTTTTTCTAAAAAAAGGTTGAAGTGCATTAAATTAACTAAAGAGATCTTTTCAATGTATAAATTGATTTATAAGCCACAAGAGAAACAAGACTTGAGAAGAGATGATAAGACTAAAGACGAATTCCATATTGTCTTTAAATATACTCTTTATGCTTTATAAGACTTGTAGGCTTTGTGCAAAATGTATTGTTTTCCACTAATTATATATAATGTTTAGTAACAAGAATTAGTAGCCAAGCTACTAAATAGACTTGTTAGAAATCTCTTTAGAAAGTCTTGCTAATAAAGCTACTGATAGAATGTTTTAGAGATTTTTAAGAAAAAATATCCTAACAAATTCAATTTAAAAACTTTATACTTGAAGCTTCTTACAGTTTATTATCACTAGAACTTTAGTATTTGAATTCTTAAACAATCTACTACAACAAACTTGGATAGATTACAAAACATTGTTATTGTATATTTTTTTGTTTATTCTTCTTTTAATTTGAACTTTAAAAAATTGTTGATTGAATTATTTTTTAAAAATACTTAATATTTACATTAAATCTTAATCTTTTATTCCCTTCACTTGGAACATTGTAATCTAGTAGAATATTTTTAGTATTTATTTAATTTTTTATAGATGCAAAATCTATTTTTTCAAGTCAAAATTTTACAATTAAAAAAATTTCAATTTCCTATGTGATATAATATTTTATTTTATTTTCTTTTCTTTTTTATCAAAAAATTAAAAAACTATGTTTTTGGTCATTTATTTCTAGATTTTTATTTTTATTTTTTTTTTTTTAAAATACTTTTCAAGCATAGTTTTTTTAAAACTATATCTCTTTGAAAAGATGATTAAAATATTTATGTAATTCTATTATTTTATCTAGTATATGCTTTTCAGATTTAAAATAAATAGATGGAATGGTTGCATGGAGTATCTACATAACACAAGGCTATCATGTTTCTTTTGCAAACAATTGTATTTTAAAAAGCTTGTAAACTAAGACTTAAATGAGCTATGATAAATGATTGAGAAACAATTATATTGCAAGACTCTAGTTCTTAATCAAATTTTATACATACTTTTTGAATGAAGATAAAGAAGGTCTAATAAGATATTAAAATTCAATTATCATTATTTTTTAAAGTTTAATACTAAGGCTACATTATAATTTTAAATTCACAATGCACAATTTTTTGGACACTTTTGGACTCTTTTGGACATTCATAACTAACACCCATATATATATATATATATATATATATATATATATATATTTATATTCATGATTAAAATTTATATTTAAAATAATAATAATAATAATAATCAAACAATATAAAGACTATAATTGATTAATTTATTGATGTATGTATATATATATATATATATATATGTATGGTTGGTAACATGAAAATTATATTCAAAAAAGAATGTGATTTAATTATTGCTAAAGCAAATATAATTCTCTAATAAACATTGAGAAAATTTTAAAATAGAAATATAATAAAGTTTCTAATATGAATAGTGATAGTATTTATGAGATGATTCTTTAAATTCATACTTTAAACAAGCAAATAAAAAGTAGTAGATTGGATGTATGTATACATACATATATATATATATATATATATATATATATATATATTTAATTAACAATCTCAAGTAATAGACATTAATATTTGGAAACAAATTGGATTATAAAAGAATCTATAACAAGGGTTTGTATAAAAAGGAATATAATAATGGTGTAACCTTATATATATATATATATATATATTTAATTAACAATCTCAAGTAATAGACATTAATATTTGGAAGCAAATTGGATTATAAAAGAATCTATAACAAGGGTTTGTATAAAAAGGAATATAATAATGGTGTAACCTTATAAAAATAAAACACGAAATCCAAATTGACGTATAAAAGTTAAAATCTTAAGGTTCAAAAGAATAAAGTATGTTGTAAATTGAAGTAAACTTAGTTTATATGTATGTATGAGTATGTATACATACATGTATATTTATATGCACATATAATAAATGCTAACAACTAAAATAATGTATTGAAATCTTTTAACTTCACATTAATTTTTAGATACATATTTCAGTACCAGAATATAATAATTCAATTTGGGTAATTTTGAAATTGGTCATTGGCACATGACTAATTCATTACTTTGGGTTGAAACTGATTACTGGCTGGCTTTTCACAACACAAAAGATAAACAAACCGGCCCTTAGTTTTTAGTCAAGTCTTGGATGCAATTATCAAATATATACATATATATATATATATATATATTTATATATATATATATATATATATAACAAATAAAACAATAAAAATTTTAAAAAAACATCCGAAGGATATGCCTAGTGAAATTTTATTACAGGTAAAGAGGAGAGTCCTGAAGATGTGTGCAATGAGAGTAGTTCTGGTGGGAATGTGGAAGCGGAATGCACACTTATGAATGAATGAATATAAGGGACCCAGAGTAGCTTATGGGACTTTGGTTGTGGGGGTTGGGGGGAGGGGAGACTGTGGCGAGAGTGTGGAAGTGGCGCTGCCCTGCCCTTGGCTTGGGCTTGGGCGTGGCATGCCACAGATATAGTTGAACCGCGGCATCTTTTTTGCACTGGAGGTTGTTGGGCGTGGCGGACAGATTGTCGTGTCGTGAAGGAGGGTCGAATTAATTGAATTAATCCACCACCGTTCCATCCTGGTGGTCTTGGGAGATTCCCGAGGACGACCGGGGGATCGGGGAGAGAGGGGACTGACTCATCTCCATTTTTGTAGGGTTCTGACTCTCTCGTGGCTTTGTGTTTGCGGGGTAGGCTCTACTACTACTACTACTACTACTCATGATATCATTCAATTGCACGGCACGCCTTCCCTGTATAGTCCTGGTGCTCGTAATCTCCCGCGTGCAGTGAAATGTTTTTATTGCCACGCTTACCCTAGTATCTCTTGTTTCGCATTGTTCCGGCATGGGCACAGTCTAGGAGCAGGGTGGTTTCCGAGCCGGCGATAGAGGCGCACAGAGCTAGAACGTGTGGCAAGGTGTTAGGAAAAGGAAGCAGGGACCGAAAGTGTGATGTGCGGTGAGAGGGTTTTGGAATTGTGCGGACAGAGGCGATTGGAATACCTGGAGATTGATCTTCTTGCTGCGGTGCTGAACAAGGCTTAGGTGAAGGTCTTTCCAATTGAGGAGGATGATGTCCTCATCGTCTAATACGACTAAGTGGATGTCGTATCTGGAGGAGGGTTTGCTGGCAGAAGAGGAGGTCCAGCCTACTAATCCCTTCTTCTGGTGCTCCAGCCAGCACCCTGTCGAGCAAGTCGATTGCAGGTATGCATAGATTCTCCTTTACTTGACCATTGCCTGAATTAGGTCCTAGTGATAATGTTTCTAAATCCAAATTCTTACACATAGGCAGCTCATGTCAGTGGTATGCATTTCTCCTATGGGTGATCTTGACATCGTGCACCATTCTTGGCGTTTTTGCCAGGAATGTGAAGGTTTTTATTCAGATGAAGTAATCATTGCTACAAGCATCTGCCTTTGCCATATTAAATGAGGAATCCTTAACATTTGATAACCTTAGACAGCTAAGTTAGTTTACGTGCATTTAGTTGCCTTCACAGTATGGTTCTATCTGCTATGATATGAATTTGCAGCATTTACTCCAATGTCTGTACATAAATAGCAATGTGCTTTGGCTCGGCAGTTCTTTGTATAGACTATTATTGTAGTCATTCTGAAGAGGTGTTTACTAGCCTAACTTATGCATTTGTCTTATTTATTGCTAAATCTGCTAAATTGCTAAATGAGCGGTTACACTTCAGGGATCTCTTCATTGCTAAATCTGCTAAAAGTTTCTTCGTTCTCAAGATCTTGTGATATTCAGGTCAGGTTTGCATGATCCGCTGGTGAGAAATTTAATTTATTGGTATGTGTTGCGGATCCTAAATGATTGCTTTGTCTTCTGCAGTATCGATAATGAATGTTCGAAGGGAGGTCCAGATGTGCCCGAAAGAAGTTTTTCCCGAAAGAGGTTTTTCAGGCTTCACTTCACTTTATTGATTGATTACTTCGTAAATAGTTGCAATTTGGATTCCTTTGTCACATGCATATAAGAGTCTGGTTTAAGTCGTGCTTTCTTCATGGATTATCGAATGAGTATTTGGAACTGCATCTCCCCCTCCCGCCTTTGTCGATTCATGCTGTGAATGACTGACGATGACCAATTTGTTTGTATCATCTTATATAACGATAGTTCCTAATGTCTAGTTTAGTAATGGTATCACTTCTTGCCTTGTTTGCTTTGGAGATGAGTGATATGTGGTCCTCTTAGGTCTCGAGAAGAGATTAGTGGTGGTGCTGGCAACAAAGCATGTCGTGAAAAGATGCGCCGTGATCGCCTCAATGATAGGTCAGTGTAATGATACGGCCTGCTTGTGCTTGTTTGCTCTTGTCGCACTTGGAAAATATGGCCCAGATCTAGCATTTTTGTGAGTGTGATTGTTGAAGTGGCAATTTTTTTAGTTCTTTTATAGTTTTGGTGCTGGGGCTGATAGGCCCAAATGTACTCAATAAATACACCTTAGTCCTGGGGAATGATTTTCAAATTCAGATCATTTGAAACCCTGAAGAACACCAATTGTTTCATTTTTTAACCGCCTCTAATTTCTTAAGTTGCTTATAAGTGTGGAGATATGGGAAATGGGTACAAATTTCCTCACAGTTCTTAACGTTTTGGACTTAATTACGATATTTTTAGATTCTTGGAATTGGGTGCGATATTGGAACCAGGCCGACCGCCTAAGACTGACAAAGCCACTATCTTAAGTGATGCTGTTCGTATCTTGACTCAGCTTCGAGCTGAGGCTCAAGGGCTTACAGAATCCAACAATCAACTGAGAGAAACAATCAAGGATTTGAAGGTACATAAGCTTATCACATGTCATGTTTTATATTAATATAGGACCGGACCTCATTGAGATTGAGGGCAGATTATGCTTGATTGTCTTATTTATGTGTGCATCTTAACTCCTTTACTTCAATGTGCAAGCAGTTGAGATACAAAATTTTAGTAGAATTTTTACAGGATACTCGTAGTTGCAAATCTCCTGGGTTTCAATAATTCGGTTACTTCAAAGCTTTTTCTTGGTCCTGATCAGAATGAGAAGAATGAACTGCGTGAGGAGAAGTCACGATTGAAGGCTGACAAGGAAAGATTAGAGCTGCAAGTGAAGGCAATGACCATTCCCACCAGATACATGCCTCATCCTGCAGCTATTCATGCAGCAGCTGCTGCCTTCTCAGCACAGGCACAAGCTGTATCAACCAAAGCTGCGCAAATGGCTGGTTATTCTGGCATGGCCATGTGGCAATGGATGTCGCCTGCTGCTGTGGATACTTCGCAAGATCATGTCCTGAGGCCTCCAGTGGCCTAGAGCTATTCAATTCTGCTTTTTTAATCTCAGTCTTTACAGTAGGAGGGTCGATCTTCTCAATCCATAGTCATGTGTAAATTATGTTGAAAGGACATTTATTTGATTTTGGAAACTGGTGTTAGATTTCTCACCTCTTCAAATGAGTAAAACAGCAATTTCCTCTTAGGACTCTGAGTAACACCATCTGCTATGGTGCTCGAAAAGCTGCGTGATCTAGTTGCTGTTCCTCCAGACGTCCTTGTATTTCATAATTGATATGTTTCAACTGACGAACTCTCCTCACAAATGTTTCTGTGAAGGGTATAAAAGTTAGTTGACCTACTGGGATTGTGGTAATTTGTCTACAACCTTGGGGCAGGAATGACTGGTCTGAGCTACTGAGCACAGTCCTGGATTGCACCTTGTCCTCCAACAAAGTGCTTGCTTAATATGGATGTCAAATACGTAAAGGTCTGGGTGGTCCTTGTTTTGAAGAGTTTTCTTGTGTTTTCTCTAAGTGCTCTTCGAATAGCCAGAGCTTGAACTGGCATTGGTTGACATCTTGTACAAAGACTTTCAATAGAGTCAGTGCAAGTTTTCTTTTGGAAAATCCACACGCGTGCTAGCTTTGGAATCTCTAAATTTGGCGTCGTCAGAGTACAAGAATTTTTGTGAACTTGTATATTATCTCTCGGATGATAGAAGAATGATTGTTTGGCCTGATTCCGTGAACACAGTCCATCATACGCATTAGGCCTTGGTATTTTGGATCCACGCATATCGACACATCTCAACCAGGGTTGATCGTTGGTTCGTCCGTGGAGAATATTGAAGCAACCGTTGTTTTGCTTGTTCGTATCTTAATCAATCCAAGTGACCTTTTAGGCCCCGGAAGAGTGCATTTTGATTTTGGGCTTTGAGGCGTGACAAAAATCTTGTGCCGGTGTAATTTGAAACCATCTTGATGTGCACATGATCTTTAAGAGTTTCTTGCAATTCATGCACGACCTTCTCTTCATTCATTATCCATTAGAAGTTCCTTGCAATTTGCGTTAGGATTACAGTGCAGGAAGAAATTGTTTCATTTTTAAAAGAATTGTACATTTACTGGAAATAGTTCAGAACGTCATTCACTAGTAGTCATCATGTCAGAATTGTCATCAAATATGATAATTCATGAGAGATTAGAATTGTCCAACATTTAAGAAAGAAATTGCTATTAGACATTTAGACTATTGAGCATAATTGCTTCATAAACCTCTCATCAAGCAAATAAGCTAACGCTTGTGAGTTGGATGAGAAGAGATTTGTGCTCCCTAAAAAGTAATGATTGATAACATAAGGAGGATTGAAAATGATGATGAAATATTGTGATAAGTAGCACGATTTGAAAGTCTAGTAGCAAAGTATTTCTTCGATTTGGATAATTCCGATACCTGATGAAACACTATATATGATGGCAATTCTTTTGCAATGATTATACCACTATGCATAATAGAAAATGAAAATAGTTTGTAAAATATTGTTAAGATACGTAATAATTATAATACTGAATTTTTTTAAAACATATAATGTAGTAAATATGTAAAATTATATAAATTTTCAAACTAAAATTTAACAGTAAGAATATTAAAGCTTAATTTCAATTGACTACGTATTTTGCAAAAAAAATCTGAGATACAATTTTTTTGAACTGTCTATACATGAACTTAAAGCTTTGCAGCTATAATTATTTTGATGTAAATTTTTAATTGTTGAGAATTAAGCACAAAATGTTCATTACATGGAAAACTAAAGATCTCATCTTATAATTTCACAGATTTCTTTGTACAAACCACTTATAATAGTAGAAGGATAAATTTCAGAAAAAAAAATTTCAGTATAAAAAAATTAAACTATTCAAATTATTACACAGATTTTTAATGTTTTTATTTTTGAAAGTTGGTTCAAAACACATTTTTCAAATTGACAATAACTCTTCAAGTCCTGAGGACTTCTAATTGTTGTTGGTATGACATTTGATGAGTATAATAATACCAAAGTAATGGTGGAAATAATGCAAGTCTAACAACATCTTGTTACATTGATACTGAATTGTAATTTCATAAAAGAAAATTCTATATTAAATATGTATATATTTTTTTCTTAATCTTAATATCTATTTATAGACTTTTAAAATAAATATTTTCATTAAATAATTAATTATTAAAATTAAGCATATTTCTCATTATTATTTTTTTAAAAGAAAAACTATATTGTTTTGTTTGTTTATTTATTTGTTTGTTTGTTTTGTTTTGTTTTGTTTTGTTTTTTTTTTTTTTTTACTTTTTTGTTGAATTTTTATTTTCAGGTTTAAATATAGAATCAACAAACATGCTTGACATGAATCTTGGTTGTAAATTATTGAAAATCTATTGACAAAGAAGATGCTCAATTTCTAGCTTGCTAACAACAATTTTAATCAATTTCTAACTTAATCTTTATACTTTAAAATGGAACGATTTAAAATTATTAATAGATATTAAATCAAAAAATATTTAAGAAGAAAGAAATTATAAATAAACTTTTTCAAAAAATTACAATCATTTAATAAAATTTTTATATATAAATTGATATAATAGATAAAATATACATATTTTTAAAATAAAAATTAAAATTTTAATCACATTGTGATTTTTTGAAAATTGAATAAGTTTTTGAATTCAATATATAAATTTCAAAGAACATATTAAAATGTATCTTAAATACTATTTTTTTTATCCTTACAATTACATAATGCTAGAAGACAAAGCATATATATCTCTATATATATGTATGTATGAATATATATATATATATATATATATATATAATGGAAATCCATGTAATTGGCCAATAAAAAGCTATAAAATTTTAATTTATGGTAACTAAGTAAAAAATTGACCACTCTTAAATAAATGTTGACTAAGAAATATATATATATATATATATATATATATATATATATATATCGAATCATTTACATTTCTTCATTGTGGTTGGTAAATGTAATTTTTATTGACTACAAAAATTTAAATACTTAAAATTTTTTTAGGATAAACCACATTTATGACAACAATAACAACACAAATGATAAAAATTTGAGGATAAAGCAACAACCACATTAATAACAAAACTAATGGCAAAAATTTGGAGGCAAATTACAAATATCAAAGAGTTTCAAAGAGTGCATAAAAAAATATAAGAAAATAATAACAACATTGCTTAGTTTTTTAGATTATTGCATATGTATCATAATTCCTTAGTATTATGATTCTTGTCTATTTCCAAAGGAAAATACTAATAACAACCAAAAAAAATAAAAAAAATACAATAACAACATAGAAAAATCCCACTTGATGAATTAGAAGACTTTGGTCCAATACAATAATAATTATAAAAGTTGGTATAAATTTTATATGAAACTTCAAAGCTTGGATATTTCAACTTTATGTTTGACCTCTACCAATTATATAAAATCCTATAATAATATATTAAGTTTATTAAAGCCACATTTTAGATCTACTATTATATTAGCCTGCCACAAACATTTCAATCAAATTCCAAGTTAGCTTCAAATTTTGCAAGAAAGATGGCTGCATTCCCTCTAGCAAGTATTGAGAAATGTTTCATATACAAAACAAAGCCTTTTTCAAAGTTGAAGAAGAAATGAAAAGGGAGTTATCTAATCAATCCAATCTTATTAATACTTAATACAATATTACCTCAATGATTGGTTTAGCCTCTTTCTTGACAAAGGCAATAAGTACAATAACTTTCTTATCAAAAGTTATTAAGCAACATACAAAAGAACTTAAAAAAAAATCTATCTCTATAGCAAATTACATCCTATCTTGAAAGATAAATAAATAAATAAAATAAATAAATAAATAATGATAATAATAATAATAAAAATAAAAATTTAAAGATAAATTAGCTGTTTGTTACTACCAATTTACTAATCAAATACCAAGATAGGTTTAGAGCTTCTAAAAAGAAAGGCCATGATTAGTATGGTAAGTATTGAGAAATATTTTATATTTAAAATGGAACCACTTTCAATGTCAAAAAAGAGATGAAAAGAGAGTTACTTAGCTAATCCAATCTTGCAAATATTTAACACAAACCTTCAATCCAATACAAAGATAACTTCAGATTTTACAAGAAAGAAAAGGTGATGGATTGATATTTAGAACAAAGAATACAACACAACAACATGTCATGGATATATACATTTACCTCGATAGTTACTTATATGATTAAGTAGAAGTAGATAAATATAGATTAATTTCATGAAGTCTTCTAGAAAAGCTTTCTAGAAGCTTCATAGATGTAATGTCATACTATAATTGCTTATAGTATGTAAAAATTAGTTAGAACATATAATATGTTCATAAGACTTAGTGTATGTTAGAATGGTTAATAGATTAATTTAAAAGAGAATAGATATAAGAAACTTTATTTTAAATTTTATCTATTTTGATTATGGCATTTAAAAAATTATAGGACCTAAATGTTTAATATAGAGCCTTAAGAGGAGATTAGAGCCTAAAGTTGAAAACCTAAACTAGTATGAGATTTATTGGAAGGCATGAAAGCAAGGCATGGTCAGATGAAGGCAAGGGATCGAGATCTTCATTCCTATTGGTCGAAGGCCATAGCCAATAGGCTTTTAGGAGGAGGTCTACGACCATAAGAAGAGTTTTTGGCAATCTTAGAAGGCGATATAAAAATCAAAAGCTAGAGTTATGAGGTTTAGGATTTGGGCTACAATTAAGATGTAAAAATTAGTGAATTTAGAATAAGCGTGAATATATTATAGCCATTTGAAGTTAAAGTATTATTTTAAGACATACTATTGTTTTTTTGAGCATATGAGGAGTTTTACGATAGTTTTTGGAGATCAAAAGGTGCGGATAGAATGGAAATTTTATGACTTACGTTTTTTATGAAAAAATTGTTACATTTGGAGTTTGTATGAAGAAGTTATAGAGAGTTGAAGTTAGTGCATCCAAATCAAAGGTAATAAGTTAGTGATTTTATTTATAGTAATAATTGGAGCCATATCTTAAATTTCTAGATGAATTTCTAATTCAAACCTTTTGGAGAAAGTAGATTATTGTGTTAAAAAGCTATACATATAAATTTTGTGGTATTTGAATGCTTAGTTTGTGAGATATGAAGACAATTGCATGTAAGTGTATAAAAACTACGATTTGAAGATATTGTTAGGATTTTGGCAATATCTTATGATCCACAATTAATTTGCAGTTGAAATTTGTTGTGATAGTTTTTGAAAGTACATCAGTACTTTATATAAAATT